GCAATATTTGTTGCTAGAGCTTAGTTAAATTTCCTATTTATTCCAACTTTATTTGATTTAGTGTTCTTACTTTAGGCCATATTGCGATCTTTGCATAAAGAATACTTGAATAAACTAGTTCTTCAAGAAGCCGGATAATTTAACCAAGCTTTTACAAATTGTCGAGTAGAATAGAAATACATTTAACTAATTATATTCCATCTTAGAGCGATACAACTTTTGCTAATGAAAGGGCAAAGTGTAAAGGTCTACACGCTAGATTTTGTAAGCGCCAAATCGTCACTATAGAATTGGTTCAATCTTGAAAATTGTATTTATTTTCAGAAAAGAACATACCTGGTACTACCAGTGTTATCCTGACTTATTTCTGTATTGGACTGTTGAATGTTTCATTCCTAGGCGTTTCATCGCCATCGTCAGTGAACTTTGCCCCTTTAGCCGTCAGCTCTTAATAAAAATATCAACGATTGCTTTAAAATTGTAATTAAACTTATAAAGCACTTTGATGGGTTGTAGCCTAGTGCTAAAGATGTGGCTGTTCATTGCCGCTTATTACAAAACTCCCTTGATTGAGTCTATTTAGCGGTACATTTTTAAAGGTATCCTTGAAAATATGACTAATTTATGAATATGAGGTCTAGTTCACTATAGAGACTTCCGTCTAAGTGCAATAATTTAGGGTCACATCTAGACTTGATATTCGCTTTAAAAAAATATTATACCTTTTAGACTAGTTTTTATCAATAACTTTATTAATTATTCATGCACTTATATTTTAATTGGCACACTGTATCAGCTTTAAAACAAAGCCCAATTATTCCACTACCTTTTTTTGTCTCAGATCCCCTGCTCGCCTTTGAAGGCTCTGCTTCTTCGCGACCAATGGCTGCTCCTAGTGTACTTCCAAACGATCAAGCATTTCGGTCAGGCCCCTTGGGACCTCTAAAAACTGGTATCACTCCGGGCCCCTCTGGTCCTGTTTCTATCTCTACTCCTGTCTTTCCTCCACCTCCACCATATCCACCCTCCTCTCTGCTTCCTCTAGGAGCCACTTGTCCAGTCTGCCACCGCGATATCCTTTCTATGACAAAATCCTCTTGTTCAGGCGTCTCAAGCAAGTTGAAAGACCCTAGTGGAGTACCAGGCCTTCCATCACCTACTGGAACTTCTACCTCCCCTTTGGCTTCTGCTCCTGTATCCCCTACTTTAGCCGCCTCGTCTCCCCTTGCCGTTTCTCCATCTTCCTCACGACTATCTAGCCCCATTCCACCAGTACAGTGCGATGCTGGCTGTCGGGCCTGGTATCACCTAGCCTGTTCAGGCCTCACATTAAATGCTTTGTGCTTACTGCGGGCCGAGCCTCTGGCGGAGTGGCTATGTCCCAGGTGTGCAATGACTGGAAGGACACTTTATCTAAAGGCATCGGCCTGATTCTAGCGCACCACTATCTGTAAAGTATTATAGATCACATTTTTTGATGCACAACCTTTCTCTTCCACAATTCTTAATTGTGGTGAAGGGATCTTCTATACTTTCTTCTTATGTTCATCGGCATTCGACTCGTTTTAAATGACTTTTTATTCAACTGCTTACAATATAATGAGTTTTTACTATCCTACTACATATCATGCATACAAAGGCCAGAGTTCAACTCTTCTCTAGCCTCCTCTTAAGAAATGACATTTGTGCTCATTTTCATTCCCTGAGCTACTTCACCCTTTTTCGCCAAATAAAATTTGTTTCATGACTTCTCTCCGTCATAAGCATACCACAATTGGAATCCTTTCAAATACTATTAAACGGTGGCAAGAAAATGACCCTATCAACGAGAAGGATGATGTGAGTTCTATCTGCAAGTATTGATTGTAACGACGTCTTGTTTCCATGCATTGTAAGTTTTCTATCGAAATGAGAGCATAAAATTTATTATTATTTTACAAGAATCTATTTCTTTCTGTTATGATGCGTACCTCATTCACTCAATAGTATGTTTTTTTCATACCTTATCATGCAATTTCTACGCTTTGAGAGGCTCTTGTCACTTGATTACTCTTATCTTAATATTGGAGAGGCATAATGGACAATTGATATTTTTAAAGACTATCTAACAATATGGTTCCAGTATAGATGATTGGATCCCCTAATTAGTTGGCTTATTTCTTGTATAGGATATT